GGCCCAGTGCAAGTGGCATAGTGGATAAATCCTCAACTTATGAGCAGTGGGATCCCATATGGGTGCTGGTTCATGTCTTGGTTGTTCTATTTCCCATCCAGCTCCCCCTTGTGACCTGGGAAAGCAGTGTATCTGCCTTTCCAATAAAAAAAAAATAAAAAATAAATCTTTTTTTAAAAAAGAGTTACCACTTGACTGAAACACCAGCAGGAAACTCAGGCCATCAGAGGATGGGATCCAGGCTTTCAGAGGAGCTAAAGGTACAACACAAGGACGCTGTGGCTCTTCTCTGGTCTCTGGCTGAAGTAAGAACAGCCACTCTCCATCCTGTGCATGGAAGTGGCCCACCGACACCTGTGTTGTTGACAGCTCTACCTGGGGCCTCTTGTCTCCCACGGTGCTCTAACATGCCGTCTCCTCTGGCTCCAGGGCTGTGATCTTGGTGGTAGGTTCAGCCCCCGCTGTGTCTATGGGTGGGTTTCATTCCTCTTTCCCAGTAAAGAACGGTATCCCCCATGAGGCCCGCAGGCTACCCCCTCCCAGTTGATGGTCCAAGGTGAAGGGTACTTGGTGTGGCTAGGGCACAGATGAGCTAGGCAGGTCCCTGCAGCTTACCTGCCACCCCCAGAGGACAGAACAGCTTGTCCCAGACTGCAGGTGAGTGGCTGCACCCCTCTCCCTCCTTCCCCACAGTGGAGGACGGGAGACCCAAGGCCCGTGGCTGGTGATAGCCACATCATAGTTTCCAAAGGCGGAAATCTCACTGCTGTGACCTTACCGGCAAATCGGAGGAGGCAGATGTCAGCCCCACCACGCACAGGCAACTTCACCCTCGCCCCAGGCCTGCCCCACACGTGGGTGCTAAGCCTCTGGCTCACCCCAGGTGGAGACCCAACCCCTCGGTAATTAAGCTCTTCCGGACGGCGGGCTGCCAGGTGCGCCTTCGCCAGGACCCTGCTAATTCCGACCTCCGGCCTTTTCCTCCGACTCGGCTGCGGAAGCCCCTACCTGGAAGCCCCCGGCCTGCGCACTCCCGCCCCCCTCCTTGCGACCCAAGAGCTGATCGTGCCGCAGGAGCGCAATCCGGAAGGTCACAGCGGCTCTCACTCCACCAGTATATAAGGACCTCGGAGAGCGACGGGGACTCAGCGGAGGCGCCGAGGAGCACCGAGGGCAAAGAGAAGCAACCGAGCGAGGCCGTGAGCATCCTCGTCTCCCGGGAAAGCGGCCTCCACACGACAGGTGAGAACCATGCTTCGCCCGGGACCCCGTCCCAGCTCCCGGAGAAGCTCTCCGCTGGCCAAGAAGGCTCGAGGGGCGCCTGGAGTCCTCCGTGGGTCGCAACTTTGCGGACAGTGTTAGCGAGCCGGAGAGTGACTGCACGCAGCATGGGGTCCCCAGGGAGGTGGGGAAGAGTGGCCAGCCACAACCCCGAGACCCGAGGCTTTAGGGAGACCTCGATTTTAGGGACTTTCTGGGTGCTGTTGGATCCCGTGCGCCTAGCGCAGGTTCAGGTTGCAAGTGCAGGCAGGAGAGATGGGACGGAAAGCCACGGTCAACTCCCCATTTAATTTTGGATCCAGATCTTCCCGTTTCCCTCAACCCCATCCTCGTCTCCCTGCCGGCCTCCACGCCCCGACGTGTCTGCGCTGTGAAAGCTGCGTTCTTTCAAGACAGGACTGTCGGGTTGTTGCTGTCCCAGGCCCCGCCAAGGTTAAGAGCAGGTGGCCGCCGGAACTGTCCGAGGTCCTGACTCGCTTAGTCTCCCCTAGGACGCGCTCAGAGGACCCGCCAGAGCACCAGACCCAGCAGACGCCAGCTTGCTGGACTCGGGCATGGCGGAACTCCCTGGGGGAAGGGGAGCCCGTCTGCGGGGGTTTGGATTCTCCTTTGTGTCAAGGGGGCGGGGGACTTCTTACAGATTCTGGAAGGAGGGAACGACAAAGTGACAAAATGTTCACACACCTCATTAATGTTCTCTTGGTTCCTTTGTTATAGGACTTGAAACAGGCAAACCTCCCCGCAGCTCCTCCCCTAATCTTTGCAGAAGGCATGACAATGGGAAGTTTTAAAGTCTTGTACCGTTCACAGGCTCAGAGTCCCAACACCGAAGTCCCAACAAGTGTGCTTTTTATCATAAAATGTAACATGAGGGGTAAAAGTTCCAAATTTTCATTTTTCCCACCCAGGATTCCATGATGGTTTGGATGATCAAGATTGCATTGTTACATTATATGTGCTTCCTCCTTAACAAAAACACACCATTGGCCAACTCCACAGTTTTTGTTGCCATTTCAAAGCGGTACAAATAGAAACGACTGATTGTAGAAAAATGGAGAAAATGTATAAGCAAAACCCAAACTGTTTGCTTTCAGGAGACCATCTATTCGTCGTGATAGAGCGGGAGCTTGGGAGGTGGGGGGAGTGGGAATATCTTTTTTTTTGCCAGGTGCAGCTAGGACTTCCCAAAGGGCAGGCCAGCTTTGAGAACTGAGATGTAGTTGTGGTAACTGTCAGATCTGAATGATTTTATTCTTTTTCTCTACACTTGTGTCCTTTGATGACATCTGTAATGCGATTTTTTCCCCTTGCTCTTCCTGCGACACCAGGGCATTTTTTTTTTTTTTTATGATCTGCATGTGCTGTGTGGTCTCAGAACTTTAATCCAGCTGCCTTGTCCTCTGGCTTCGGGTTGTGTACCAGAGCGACTGCACAGCAGGCTCAGATAGGAACAGGCTGTCAATCCCAAAGGGTAACAAGGTTTTTGGAGTTACCCCCTGGGCAGACTCTGCTCGCTGGCTGCCAGCGCCATCTAATGGCTATTTGGGGAACTCCAAACTTTGCCATCTTTCAGAAGGGAATCCTGATTCCAACCCAGGTTAGGAGAATGGAAATGGGGGTCAGGCAGAAGGAAAGGAAGCAGGGGCCAGGGGGACTCTCACTTCCCAACTTGCTGTGTAGCAAATACCCGATGCGCGTCTCTCTGAAGGAGAGGTTTCTTTTAGGTTTGAGCCACCCACCCCTACTACCTGCAATACTTTTCTCATCTAATTAGGTTTCTTCCTGACAGCTGGTTGGGAAAACCTTCTGAAGTATAAAATGACCACAGGGTTGGTGCTGTGCTGACTGCAGACTGTGGGGGGGACACAGGTGGCATAACAGTTATTGGCACTGGAGACTGTGGGCTCCCACCTCTGTAGTGTTTGTTGATCTCTGGGGCTCCCAGCAGCAGGTGCTTCCGGGATTCACCAGAAGGAGCCCTCTGGGAGGAGGTTTCCCTCCCCTCAACTGCTTTGCCCTTTTTCAGGTCCACTTCAAACGAACTTGGAAAAGTTTGTGAAGAAGTGGAATTAAAATAGAAGTAGGTATTGGTGCTTCAAAAATGCGGAAACTCGCGCACGTTTGAAGGCTCTCAATGCCAGCCCACATTTGAGAGCCACCGCGGACAGCTCAGCTGAGCTAGTTTTTTTTTTTCTTCAAAGATTTATCTATTTTTATTTTTTATTTTAAAATAAGATTTACTTATTTTTATTGGAAAGTCAGATATACAGAGAGGAAGAGAGACAGAGAGGAAGATCTTCCATCTGCTGATTTACTCCCCAAGTGGCCACAATGGTCGGAGCTGAGCCCATCCGATGCCAGTAGCCATGAGCTCCTGGAGCTGGTGCAGGGTCCCAAGGCTTTGGATCATCCTGGATGTGGTTTTCCAGGCCCCACCACTGGATGGAAAATGGGACCACTGGGATACAAATCAGATCCCATGTGGGATCGTGGTGTGTGCAAGGTGAGGACTTTATCCACTAGGCTACTGAGCCAGGCCCAAGATTTACCTAGTCTTTTTATTTGAAAGAAAGATTTACAGAGAGAAGAAGACACACACACACAAAGAGAGAGAGAGAGGGAGGAAGCAAGAGAAATGAGAGACACAGAGAGCGAGAGATCTTCCATCCACTGGTTCACTCTTCAAATGGCCTCAGTGGTCAGAGCTGGACCAATCCAAAGCCAGGAGCTTCTTCCAGGTTTTTCACATGGGTGCAGGATCCCAGACACTTGGGTCATTCTCTGTTGCTTTCCCAGGCTATAAGCAGAGAGCTGAATGGGAAGTGGAACAGCTGGGACATGAACCAGCATCCAAATGGGATGCAGGCACTGCATGGTGAGGCTTAGCCTGATAAATTGAGCCAGTTTTTTTTTAAAGATGTATTTATTTATTTTTATTAGAAAGTCAGATATACAAAGAGATACAGAAAGAAAGATCTGTCTAATCGTTCACTCCCCAAATAGCCGCAACAGCTGGAGCTGAGCTGATCTGAAGCCAATAGAGCTTCTTCCAGGTCTCCCATGCGGGTGCAGGGTCCCAAGGCTTTGGGCCGTCCTCGACTGCTTTCCCCGGGCCACAAGCAGGGAGTTGGATGGGAAATGGAAAAGCCGGGATATGGGATCCCGGTGCTCATATGGGATCCTGGTGGATGCAAGGCACGGATTTAGTTGCTAGGCTATTGCGCTGGGTCCACTGAGCCAGTCTTAAAAGACTTGGATTCTCCTTTAAAAGATGAATCTATGTGGCGTCCCGGGGCTAGGGGCGTGTCTGGAGGCATGGAGAGCACCTGTGTGGTCTGTGTACAGGACATGAGGTCTTGACTAAATGAGCCAGCAGTTCTACTGGCTCTTACACAAACTGCATGCTCGTGGTAAACCGAAGCTCCTAGGGGCTGTGGACTCCTGGGAGAGGGGGAGGGAGAGAAGCCAGAACCCCTTTAGCAGGAACTTTGTCTTTCCCAATTCATCCCCACCCCGGGGTCTTGAGTGCTAGACTTGGCGTGGCTCACCTCTCTCTGCTGGGCGCTGCTCCTGTCCTCAAACAGCCTTGAACTCTCCAAGTGCGGGCGTTGTTACTCTTGGCTCACCAGCCTTCCTGGTGAGTGGCCAACATTGTTCTGTTCCTTGCAGGGGTCCCGCCAATCTTGTTTGCCTCGGCAGAGCCTCGGGCTGCCTGGGAGATGCCGAGACCGGGCTCCAGCTGCTCAGGGGCCCTGCTGCTGGCCTTGCTGGTACAGGCCTCCACGGAGGTGCGTGGCTGGTGCCTGGAGGGCGGCCGGTGTCGGGACCTCACCACGGACAGCAACCTGCTGGTAGGTGCACCATTGGTGATGGGGGCTGGGACATGGGATTGGGACTTGAGGGGCTTGGACAGCTCAAAAGAAAAGTGCAGCGCTTGGGGGAGGAGTGGGGAGAGGAAGTTCCCAGTGTCAGGGCTGGGGCAGGAGCGGGAGGTAGGCTGTGAAGTTACAAGTGTGCCTGGGGTGGGAGCATGGTGGCGGGGAGGTGTAGAGGAAGCCACCTGCTGGGGGATGGGTCCTGCTCACAGCTGCTGCTGTTATCCTCACCCTCTGCCCCTGTCTTCTTTGGCGACTCCCTGCCACTGAAACTAGACGCGGTGCCATGCCTTCAGCCCATCCTAGCTCTTCAGTTTCCTAGTGCTCATGTACGTTATTCCCTTTTCAACAGCCATGCAGGATTTGCCATTTCCACTTCGTCTTTCTTCTCTGTTACTGTTGTACAAAGCCAAGGGAGGTGGCTTGCTGAGGGAGAGGGAGTGTCGGGGACCCGGGGCCTCACCCTGCCTCTGAGGGTTGGTCTTCTGCCAAGGTCACCTGTAGGTCTTTCCAGAAGCTGCTGGCACGGGCAGGGAGCCCCCTCAAGGTCACAGCTGTGTGTGTGTGGGGGCACGCTGGCACCTGTGCATTGTGTGTTTTGTCCTTGGAGAAGCTCTCTGAACTAAAGGTGAACAGAAACAGAACAGGTTTTGTAGGGGGAAAAGCCCAGGGTGGAGTGAGGGTCCTGTGAGACTCCCCCCTCCCAACACACAATTCCTGGGATCACTCCCCTCACCCCTCGCCCCAGAAGGAGCGCTGGATGCGTTCACAGCGGGTTCTAGTCCCACTTCTGCCACCATGAGGCAGTGAGCCTGTACCCAGATCCTTTTGCCCCAGCCCCCTGCTCCCTTCTGGATCCCGGGGAGGCTGTCTGTAGTAGTTGGTTTTACTTTGTTGCGGTGAACAGATTTCTATATAATTCGTCTCTTCGTCTCTTCGCAAGTAGGTGTGGGTGCCAGAGGACGCAGCTCACAGACCATGGCGTGGCCTCGGCTGTCCCAGACGCCCCATGTTTCACACTTGCAACCCTCTGGGCCTCAAATCCCCCTCATCTTTATTTATTTATTCGTTGGCTAGCCAGTGTTGAGCAATTCCTGTCAGGTGGGCAAAGTGCCTCCACCCACGTCCGCTGCGTGTGACTTGTGGGCGCCAGGTGCCCTCACCGCCTCCTCCTCGCTGTCCTGCAGGAGTGCCTTCGCGCCTGCCAGCCCGACCTGTCGGCCGAGATGCCCGTGTTCCCGGGCAACGGCGACGAGCAGCCGCTCACCGAGAACCCGCGCAAGTACGTCATGGGCCACTTCCGCTGGGACCGCTTCGGCCGCCGCAATGGCAGCAGCGGCGGCGGCGGCGCGGGGGTCGCGGGGCAAAAGCGCGAGGAGGAGGAGGAGGAGGAGCGGGTGGCGGCGGCCGGGGGTCCGCGCGCGGGCAAGCGCTCCTACTCCATGGAGCACTTCCGCTGGGGCAAGCCCGTGGGCAAGAAGCGGCGCCCGGTGAAGGTGTACCCCAACGGCGCGGAGGACGAGTCGGCCGAGGCCTTCCCCGTGGAGTTCAAGCGCGAGCTGCCCGGGGCTCGCTCCGGCCCCGGGGCCGCGGCCGAGGACCTGGAGTACGGCCTGGCGGCGCCGAGCGACAAGAAGAACGACGGGCCCTACCGCATGGAGCACTTCCGCTGGGGCAGCCCGCCCAAGGACAAGCGCTACGGCGGCTTCATGACGTCCGACAAGGGTCAGACGCCGCTCGTGACGCTCTTCAGGAACGCCATCGTCAAGGGCGCGCACAGGAAGGGCCCGTGAGCGCCGCGCGGGGCGGCCTCTTCACGCCTGCTGTAGTTAGGAAATAAAACCTTGGTCGTGTCACACCCACCCGCCTCGGACTTTGAATGGTGACCGGAAGCCACGTGGCCACGCTTAGGTGGCCCCCAAATAGCCTGGAGGGAAATGCACGTCCAGTTCCTCCGACGGCCCAGAGGAGGGCTGGGCAGCGCGAGTCCTCTCCGCCTAGCACTTCCGTGGTGTCCACGAGTGTACTCGCTTCCGCCCAGGGTGATTGTGGGGATGGATTGCAGCTGCGCCTTTAGGAGAGGTGGCCCACGTCAGGTGGCGGCCCGCGGCCGTGCCTGTGGCCCAGGCAACTCCCTGCCCGTCTCACCCTCCACCCACCTTTCCTCGCTAGACTGAAAGGAGAAAATAGGTTTTTTTTTTTTTTTTTTTTTTAAATCCCCGGAAAGCTAAGTGTGAGAGTGACAATGTCTCAGGCGACTCACAGATACGCTAACACGTGGTCTCACTTCCCCAGCACACACCCACGGAGACACCCAGTTCAGGAAATGGGACACAGTATACACAGCTGCCTCTTCCAGCCCTCAGCTCACTCCTCTCCTGCTACCCACCCTGGCTGGGCTCCTCCCTCCTGTTGCCGGGCTGTGCTTACAGCTCTTATTCCTCCCAGGTATCACAACAGCATCCCGGCCAAGGAGTCTTTGCCTCAGCGACTCTTTGCTCCACCTCCCATACAAACCTCCCCTGACCAGGCACAGGGAAATCTTGCTTTCTCCACATCCCAGGGCTCAAGAGCCCAAGTGGCACCCTCTTCCCCAATTTCCTATTAATTCCCAGGTACTGGGCATCGCACTAGCTAGCCCCTTACCGAGCCAATTTCTACCGACCCCTGGATGAAGGCTCCTGGTCACTGGCTGGTATTCTCCCACCCGCTTCACCTCTGTCGGGGTCTCCCCCTCCCCTGCTGTGCTTCACCATGAGAACAGGCTCAAGTTCACCTCTGCCGGCTGGTCTGCCCTCTGTCAGCAGCCCGCCTGCTCCCTGCCTGGAACCTCCCTTGCTTCATGCTTGTCCTGTCCCTTCCTCCCAGAGGACACCAAGCTCTGCAAGGACAAAACGAGTTTGTTTTCACGATCCATTTTTTTTTTTTTTTTAATTTGAGGGCATTGTAGCCAGAGAGGGAGACGCAAGAGCTCTTCCATCTGCTGGTTTACTTCTCACTGGGCTACAATGGCCGAGCCAGGCCAGATCCAGGAGCCTCTTCTGGGTCTCCCATGTTGAGTGGCAGCAGCCCAAGCATGTGGGCCATCCTCCACTACTTTTCCAAGTGCACTAGTAGGGAACTGGGTCAGAAGCGGGGTCACTGGTGCCCACTCGGGCTGCTGTGTCACAGGTAGTGGCTTTCTCGGCTATGCCACCATCTCCCGGTGGTGGCTTCACAGAGCTGGGGCTGTACGCATCGACAACTCCCTCGCGGGAGGCTCCCCTAACACCAACATGTACACACAAGTGTCACCGTCACCAGACAAGCTAGTCTGCCATAGAAACTACAGCTGGCGGAGCTTAGCCAAGGCCCGGGAGGTGCCATGTGAAGGGTGTCAGGGTGTCGGAAGGCCAGCTCCAGGGAGGTCTGACCAGCCTGGCCTTCTTCACCATGAAGGGTCCGTGTGGCAAGGCTGCCTCACTGCCTCTTCCCACCCAAGACAGCCAAACAAATGATGGCTGGAGGTAGCAGGGAAGGGGAGTTGCCAAATAAATGCCAGCGGCGAACAGCTGCTATTTTCAGATTGTTTTCATTTTTTTAAAGATTGATTTTATTATTTACTTTTTAAAATTGGAAAACTAAATATATAGAGATAAGATACAAAAAGAAAGCTCTTCTGTTCTCTGGCTTACTCCTCAAGTGGTCACCATGGCTGGAGTTGAGCTGATCTGAAGCCAGGAGCCAAGAGCTTCTTCTGGGTCTCCCATGTGGGTGCAGGGTCCCAAGTCTTTGGGCTGTCCTCCACTGTTTTCCCAGGCCACAAGCAGGAAGCTTAGAGGGGAAGTGGAGCAGCTGGGACATGAACCGGCACCCATATGGAATCCTGGTGCATTCAAGGCAAGGACTTTAGTCAGTAGGCTATTGTGCTGGGCGCCTGTTGTTATCTTAAAGGACCATTTACCCTAAAGGAACCAGATCGACAGCCATGTGGTGACAATATTAACATTTATTGGCAAAGGGCGTTTGTGAAGGCTCCCTAGGAACCTGTGCCGAATCCTCCTAAATAATGCTAAGGTGAAGTTCCCTCTTCCTGTCTTCCCCCCTCCCCCACCTCTCCCTTCCCTGAAAGAACATTCACCAGACTGTACAAGTTCTAAAACACAGAAAGCTGCCATGGCCACTAAGTGTGCACTCACACATACGCATCGTCCACTATGCACGCACACCCTAGCCCGGCCACGAAGGTCCAGGGGCAGAGACAAGGGACGGCCAACTACGGCCGCAGCATCTGTGGATTCATGACCATGCCTGCCACGTGCCAGGATCAACAGTCACAGTGGAGGAGCTCAAGGGGGAGGCAGGGGGGACTTGGAAGGCCGGTGGTCCCCAGAAAGACCACTAAGGACATGCTAAATGACTGCACAGAAGATGACCTGCGTCCAGCCAGCCTGCTGCCCCACGCCTACCAGGCCCCCGCGCCTATAGCCCTCAGGTCTAGGCCACATCCGGGCTATGGGGTCACACTAGCTAGAGTTCTAGGGGTGACAGGTGCCAGCTCTGCCTTAAGCCTCCTCCCCAAGAGGTAAGGAGGCAGTTTTGCTTTGGCACAACCTACTTGCTAAGATGTGGGTCACAGGAAGCAGGGGAGGCCTGCTGAGACCACCTGCCTGTTGACCTTTAACCCTGACCTCAGCCTAACAACATAGGTCTAGTTAGTCCTTCCCATCACTCATCACCCAGCTGCCATTTTCTGTTTGAAGAGGAGGCTGATAAAGACCCTCCCTGCTCAGTGGTGCCCCCAGTAGCTAGGCTGGACGGCCTGAGGACACTCATGTGGTAACTGGAAGGCTTTGTGGCCCAAGGGGCAGCCTTGCCCGACTCAGTCCAGTTGAAACATGTCTGTGGGCACCTAAGACTGATGGCCAGGCACAGTGCCCGTGTGGCCCTGGTGCTGCTGATTGGGGGCAGGGTGCTAGATGGAGGGAAGGATGAAGGAAGGGGTCTCTCTGGTTCTGACTGGTACATGTGCCTTTTTTGGCAAGGAGTCCATAAACCGCTCATTTTCAACTTTTCAACCACAGAAGCACACGAGCCTTAGTACAACAGAAATGGGGGTGAGTGGGGGGCATTCAGCCCATCGGTGGTACCCTCCATCCTGCCCTATGCATGCATGTGGGTGGGGCTTCCAGGGGCGGCTGGTCTGACTGCACCAGCTCCTTCCGGCTTAAAGCTGCAGAGAAGGGATGGGAGATGGCGTTGCCAGACGCCTGAAGGCCGGGCAGGCGGGACACAGCGAGGCTGGGCTGGGGCCCGGGCATCTCCCGCCCTCTAGATCCCACCCCTCTCTGCCTCTCTCCCAGGACTCGGCGGGGTGGGGCCCGGACACCACCTCGTTGACCATCACATTGTGCGCATGAACACTCTGTATTTACTAGGATCCAGACCCTACTCCCTGTCAGCAGACACCCTGGTGTTCTTCTAAGTGTAAATCTCAATGGAGATGTAGGAGGGGACACTCCAAAAAACAGCCCGTTCCAAGGACCAGTGGCACAAGAAGAAGCAGCGGGCAAGCCCAAGGGCTTGGCACAGGAAGTGGCTTCTGAGTCCCAGGATGGCTGCCACTCCGGGGGGCAGGGCTCACGGTGCTGCTGCTGCTGCTGCACAGGGTGGATGCCAGACATCGGTGGGAACTAGTGGGCCCCTCCACAAAGCACAGCCGAGGACAAAGGATGGCAAGGATGGCAAGGCCCAGTGAGAAAAGAAAAGACTTCTTTGTGGCTCCAGGTCTAGACTCTCAAGTTTCTTCCTAAGGTTTTTTTTCCCCTCAAATTGGTTTAGTGTTTTTGGGATGTGGGGCTGCTTCATAAGAGATATTGAAGAGAAACTGAAGTTCCTGTTCATAGATTTGAGCTTAAGTTGAAAGCCATACAAGCAAAAAAGCTGTGGGGGAGAGCAGGGGCTGCACCTGCAGGACAGAAGCCACTGGACAGGGTGAGGCGGGGAGCAGGCAGCCACTCCCCAGGAAACATGCACACGTGATGGGGAAACCCATGTGCTAAACTCTCCAACACCCGCCTCCCACTGTCTGTGCAAAAACAAACAAACAACGAATTCTTCAGAGGGAGTTTTGCCCATTCCTTCTCACTGCAGGTTACACCTGCTCAGGAAAAGTTAGGGGAGGACGGACCGGAAGAGAAGGGAGGGCTGGATGTGGATCACAGGCGGGGAGAAGGCGCAGGGAGAAGTCTGCTACCCATGATGTCGGAGGGGGCCATGCCCTTGCAGCTGGCTCCTTCACCCTCTCCTGATGCTCCTCAGCTATGCCAGCCCCTCCTGGGCAGGTGGCATCCAGCACGAAGGCGAGTGGAACCCAAGAGCCACAAGCGTTGTTCCCGGCACTGCCATCCCAGACCTTGCCCATACAGGCCAGAGACATTTCCTGTCTGGGGTGCAGGGCCTCGGACCCCAAGTGAGACATTCAGAGAGCAGCCTTCTGACGTTCTTGGGTCCCAGAGTGGCACCCATCCCACCCTTCCTCCTTCTAAGCCCTCCCCAGGCCCAGCTGGGCGCCTCTTCTGTGGGAGGTGACCTTGGAGTGACCTTGGGGCTCCTGTGGCTCCTCCCCCTTCTGAATCTGGTTATCCCATTCTACCTTCCCTTTGGCTCTGAGCCCAAGAAGCCCTTTGGGGTTCTTTGGGGAGAGACCCCCCAATTCAGAGAAATACCTAGAAGGGAGGGCCTACACAGGCTTGTTCTGAACTGAGTCAGTGAGAGGGTGCCACAGGGGCACTGGGCAGAGGGGCCTGACTGC